ACCAAATTTTCTGGTGGGGCAAAGCAAACTTTAGGGGGGGGGGTGTTATATATAAAACAATGTCTGTCTAATATATTAAGGGGGCAACGCCCTTTCCCACCGTGGCTACGGGTCTGGGTTGATGACAAAAGCTGCCACATATGTAGCATACTCACAAATAACTTAAGGACTACATGCCTGAGTATAGCTTTAACACACGGGGAGCACAGCACGATGATTCGGATAATTTCACGTCCGTTGACCAGCTGGAAAACCGATTTAATTACGGCGACCGTGACATAAACCATTCACTTGACCATCAGGTTCTGTGCGGCAGCAAAAAAAACAAAGCACAGCGGCGAGGGACGCCAAAGCTGCGACGTGCTCAACCGCTCAGAAAAGGCGTCAAAAGACGAGTGAGTGCCCGACGTCGATAGCGCCGCGCGATCGCGACCGGCCAGGAATAATCGCTGGATCAACGACCGGCGATAATCAGCGGGTCGGCAATCTATAATTGACGGTCGGCCGGTAGATTACGGGCAACCGGTAACGGCAGAGGGAGGAATGAACTTTTGACGCACCATCCGTCCGGCGTATCATTTGATCTAGATTAGATCGAGTGGTTTTAAAAATACCGAGTTCGAACACTGTTATTATAGCTTATAATAATTTGTAATATTTATTTAAATTTTTTTGAAAGAGCTTGTGCAATAATAGTAAAGTTTTACACATTTTACTACAATAATTGGTGCAAGATTTGACAAATCCTGACAAATATAATTTTTCTCAGTTTTTCACCACCTATAAAAATTAACATTATATAATAATAAATTGTTTTTCATAAGTTATTGTGTTATATTTTAAATGTTTATTCATTATTGAATAAATAACTGTTGTTCTGCATAATATTTCTGTTGTGCAACTAGAAAATGAATAATCAACTAGATTATATAATATAGAGTATTGTTGAAAACCTTTGAAGTGTTTACATTTATATGTTAAAATGAAAATACTGTGTTACTGTGTTATCATTGGGGTAGATATTATTTATACACCCTAAAATCCAATTAAATATGCCTTAAGTAATGTCATATAAAATGAAAAAAAAGTTGAAAATTGTTAAACTTAAACAGTTCACACAAAATCATTTATGTTACGTATTAAATCTTATTGTAACATGACCTCTCAACCAGTTGAAAAGATTTTAATTCATTTTAATTTTTAATGCTATATTATAATTTGGTTTTTCAAAATATCTGTTATAAAGAACTGAAACTAAAATCTGAATCTGAATTCGAAATAATGTTGTCTGTAAAATATGTTATTATAAATTATAATAAAATATTGTGATATAATTATTATAAAATTATAATTATATAATATCTCGTGAGAATAAAGTCTCGATAGTGTTCACTCGATAACTTTAAGCAGCGGGCACATGATAGAAAAATGCAATGGTTACTTTCGTGTAAGTACTAAGTACTATCATGCAGATATAGATCACTGAAATGAGCTATAGCGTATATCACGCGTAGTCCATGTTTGAAGCAGACCTGTGTTCGGGCCCGAAGTACTTTATTGCATATGCGTGAGAACACTGAGAACTGAAATAGATCGCGCGAGATGGGGAAGGAACTAATAATATGTATATAATGTATATAACGACAGTTATACAGTGAAACCTCCTTTAACGGACACTTCCAAATAATGGACGGAATTTTGAGAACGGTGAAATGTGTACTCACTGTATTTCCCCTCTTAATAGCGGATGACATTTAAGCGACCGAGAGTGTCCGGTATTTAGAGGTTTCACTGTATCTTATAATATATATATAATATAATATATTTATATATTGTTATATCTTATGTTTTTTGTGTATTCATCAGTAATCTCTTGTCATAAAACAGTTTTGCGCATGCGCAGTAAATTACTTCAGGCCCGAACTGCTACGCTTCAAGATTTTAAATCATAGCTCTATCCAGTGTATAATATGATCTAAGCCAATTTGAATAAACAAATAAATATAAATACAAATTTAAAAAATGTATATACCTACCTATTTATTAACGTGTGTATAATACAATCTGAATAAATAAATAAGTATAATCACAAATTTATAAATTATAAATACCTATTTATTAACGTGTGTAAAAGTCATTGAAACTGTTTGGACCGCGTAAAGTTTGGTAAGTTTCAAAACGGACCCCCATAGAAATTAGTTGGTGACCCCTGATCTAAGGTGAATAAGTAGATAGAGTGATAGTAACTATTATCCACAATTATTGTTCACACCATGACACTCTCCTGGTAGTTGATTTCACGACATATAATTTTTATTTTTATTTTGTAATTTTAAAATATACAATTGTTATTATGTTTTGCACTTGGAACTGCAGATAATGGCTTTGGTTTTAAAAAAACACTTCATGCGGCATAGAACAGCCGTCTAACACAGCTAATATGTTCTGGCTGGTCATCACAGCCATCTCTTCCTCCGTCTCAAAGGTGGAGGTGCCGATGTGTGGAAGGAGCACTGCAAATAACGTGAAAATATTATTGAAGTAGAACACTGAAACCTCTATGTTAATAAGCACGTGTATTGATCAATCAACTTCAGCGGCAATGAGAAAAAAATTTTAATAGATACTAAAAGCTTATCCTAAAAGAAGATATTATTTTTAAATAAAAACCGATAAAGATTTATTATAATTCAATACTTGTGGAGAACTATAAAAATTACCGAAATAATCTACAACTTATTTAAAAAAAAAAAATTCCATAATTGTTAGTGCACATACAAACATTATCAAGGCCCACTAGTGGATGATTCAATGGCAGTGGTTCGGGAGTCATCACGTCCAGTCCAGCACCTCGAATTCTCTTCTCCCTGAGCGCTTCGACCAGAGCGTCTTGATCAACCAACTCTGCGAAATTCAAAAACAAATAAAATATAAATCATTGCTATAAATAAATTTTAAGGTTTCGAGTGTGCCTCGTCATCAAATAGGTTACTGTAATGACTGTAATTACCAATTCTATTAGAAAGTGATATTATGATATATTATATCAAAAATAATCAAAGAGAAAAATTAATCTACATTTAATAAAGGGTACATAAAAAATTTAAATTTCAACATTCCTTTTTAAATTTTAATTAATTACACCCGCACCAACCACATATTTCGTGGAGGGGAGAGCTGAACCACCAAACCCCCTTCTAAATACGTCACTGATAACTTAAACTAACCTCCACGACCTATGTTCACCAATATGGCATTGGACTTCATGGTGGCGATCCGTTCTCTGTTGACAATGAATTTCGTATCCTCATTTAAGGCCGAGGCGACAACGACGAAATCACTACGCTCCATCAATTCGTCCACCGAGACCAATTGTCCACCGAGGGCTTTGACTGCCGAAAATACACTTCATAATATTAATCATGGCTTTGAATTTAACGAATTTACTATGTTTACATATATTTTTTAAGCCCCCGATTACAAATTATGAATTTTACGTACACAGATCATTGTCGAATATCCATATACATTGTAGATCCGTAAATACTTACCAGCCGGTTTTTCATTTCTACTGGTGTACAAAAGTTGAGACAATTTGAAATTAATCAATTTCTCGGCGATCGATGTGCCGATGTTGCCGCAACCTAAGATGCCCACGACCGACCCTTTTATGCTTCTACCACACATCCATCCGGGAACCCATTCTTGCCATCCGCCACTATAATATAATATAGGTACATGTAAAAAAATATACAACAGATTTTAACAGATCTTTTATCTATTAGCAGTCCCAAATGTCTCTTATCGCGCGTGTTATTAGTTTGATTTACTATCTGGCATAAAGCAAGGGTAGGTATTTAAAAAATTTGTGCTAATGTTTGACCTCAGAAAGTCGAAACATGTAGTGACTGCGGCCAACCACTATGCCACATCAGGCACATTATAATTACTATTCTTTTTTTTTTTTTTAAGTATTATCTATTATAAATATTGCTTGAACATATAAACATACAATAGTGTTTAATGTTCTCTTATTATTATTATTTTTAAACGAAAATTATGTTAAATTGTACAACTATTATTTATATTACCAGTGGTCGGCAACCGGCGGCCCGCGAGTCTATTGAATACGGCCCTCTTTAAATTCTACAACAACAAAATTTAATTGAATATCATATCAAAAAAAAATAAAAATCAACAGGTAAAAATCAACATATTCCTGATATGTGGCTTCATATTAAATCATCTTTTGAAATAAAATTGAAAATATTACGGTCTCACATTGAAAAAAGTGAATTAACACATTTTCCAACAAGAATTTAATAATCGATTTCAAGATTTCAAACGACATTCACAGTATTTTCAACTGCTCGCCAATCCGTTTAATGTTGATGTTGAAGATATACCCGTTGAGCTTCAACTGGAAATAATAGATTTGCAGCCACAAGATATCTTAAAAGACTCATTCAAAGCATCGCTTTACTTTTATTTGCTCAACTTCCTGCATCATTTTCAAAAATTAAAAATATAGCTGCAAAATACTTCAGTATGTTTGGTTACACTTACGTGTGTGAACAGGCCTTTTCTCATATGAAAAAAATTAAAAACCCAAACCGTTCACGCTTAACCATCTCCACCATGTATTTAGAGCCAGCATAAGAAATTTTGATGTGGAAATCGAAAAAATAATAAATAAACAATATCCAACAACAAAAATTACATTAAGCCTATTAAGCAGTTGTAGTTTCCATACTTTTATATTAAAATTATAATATTAAAAACTGTGATTTTATTTTAATATTATTTTAAAGCTTATTTAAGCAGTTATTTTTTTTCTTAATAAATAATTTGGAAAATAAATTTTTTATTTTTGTCTAGCCCTCGAACTTTTTTTTAATTTATGAATGTGGCCCGGRAGTTTAAAAAGGTTGCCGACCACTGATTTATACTAGCTCTATGAAAGGCTAAATAAACATTATTCTTCAAAAAAAAATGTTTGATAAAAATGTGCATGAAAAGCAGGTGTACTCAATTTTACTATTCGGACTCGTTGGTATAGATACAACTAGAACATTACGATAAGTATATATGAGTACACCGTACACCATTAAACCAACTAGTTGTAATCAGGCCCCTACATCATATATTTGGTTHCTCGAAAGTCCGGGCAGCCGTACCGTGGGTCCTTCTGACCCAACCCCTCTTTGCGGGACCCCTGGTCGTAACGCAGGTCTTCATAGTAATTTTAAAAACACGATTAGATCACTTACGTTTTAACTTCACGGTTCGCTTCGAAAAACCTTCTGGTGGTGGCTATGATGAGACCCACAGCGATTTCAGCTACCGTTTCTGTCAGAATGCCTGGCGTATTTCCTAAACGTACACCATATTTTTTCATGGACGTCAAGTCAACGTGATCGAATCCCACTGACATGGTACTAACCACTTTAAGACTAGGTCCTATATTATATAGGTAACAAAATATGTTTAATATTAATTATTGATAATGTTTATGTTATATTACATAAACAAATAACTCTTCAAGACACCGGTGAAATAAACAATATTACAGAAAACGACAATACTCAGCAACCTCAGGCCAGACCTAAAATTCCACCTATATATGTTTATAGTTTATAATATTCCCGATTACGAAAACTTTCGTTGTTCTTTAGAAAATATAACAGTTGGACATTTCTCCATTGTAAATACAAAATCTGCTCTAAAAATTAATTTAAACTCGATTGTTGAATATAGAATCGCAACTAAACTTTTCGAAGATATCGAAATTGAATGCCACATATACCAACTTCCTGAAAATAAATAGCTTTCGGTAGTAATTAGAAATCTACCTGTAAATATATCTGAAGCTTGTAGAACTTAAATTTTAAGTCGATTCAGTCTCATGCCTTCAAAACCAGTTCAAATCGCAAATCCCAATCGTAACAGTTTTATTATCAAAATTATCTATTGAAATATATTCTTTAAATAGACTTCTACGTTGTATAATAATAGTAGAATCACGTAAAGCCTCCAAGAACATCTCACAATGTACTAATTGTCAAAGATTTTCCCACACCAAAAAGTTTTGCCATCTACCATCAAGGTGTGTCAAATGTGCGGGTGATCATCACTACAATCAATGAAAGAAACCAACAGAAGCTCCCCCTAAAAAAAAAATGTGTTAACTGTGATAGTGATCACCCAGCTAATTATAGAAGGTGTACTTTTTACAAAGAAATATCAAGAACTAAAAAGAACTAGTACAAATCTGTCCCATCCCAAAAATCACACTATCGCAATACCTAACGAAAATACTCAAAATATAATTCAAACAAAGATAACACTAATATGCATTACACATACAACTCCGAGTGTAATAGTAATAGTAATAACAATAATTATAAAGGCAAATCAGCCAATTCCACAGATAACGATAACGACTTAATGAAAACTCTTTTACCACTAATTAACACATTTGTTACCCAATTAATGCAGAAAATAATACAAAACCTGACAGTCATCATTAAGTGCCGGATCACACTATGCGTTTTGTCGGTTGCCGATAAAACGCAACCGATCGGTAAACGACTGCGACATCCATAATTAACATTAAACCGTATTATCAGGACCAGACTGACCGATTCGGCGAACTGATTTAAAATCGTCAGGAACCGGCCGCAACATGTTGCGGTTGACTTTGCCGATGCGTTTCGGAAAATACCCCAAAACACTTTAGTTAATATTGAGCCGACCACACATGCGGATCATCGGTTGCGGTTTTTTAATATAAATTATAATTTTTTTAAAGTTTAATTAAAATCGGCAACCGATAAAACGCGTAGTGTGGTCGGTCTTCTCGCTTGCGGTTAATCGGGATACATTTTATCGGCAACCGACAAAACGCATAGTGTGATCCGGCACTAACAGCTTAAACTTAAACACTAATGGAGTTCCATAATACCTTATTATTAAACGGGAATGCTAACGGTCTTAAAAATAAAAGAAATACATTACTAGCTTTTCTTAATCATCACAACATTCATATCGCATGCATTACTGAAACGCATTTGTCGCATACAGATAAAATTAAATTTCCAGGCTACAAAATTTATCGCGCTGATCGTATTACACAATCTCGTGCCATGGGCGGAGTGGCTATTCTAGTACGGAACAAAATCAAACAACAACAATTGCCTACACTCGTCCTAACGTACCTCCTAGAAGCCGTAGCAGTTTCCATTAGCATAAATAATAAGCATATAACGTTCGTCAGTATGCGTATCAACCTCCTAGTCGCCAAATGCTTATCGCAGATTATAAAAAAGTCATGAGTCAGTTATAATTGCTGGTGATTTAAATTCTAAACACATTAACTGGGGATGCCGTGTTACAAATCCAAATAGCTCTAAATTACAAGCATTCATAGCAAACACACTTTTTTCAATATCAGCTCAAAATACACCTAATTACTTCCCAACAGAAATAAACCGTTTGCCCGATATATTAGACATTTTAATAATTAAATCTGTCCCATTTGTAATTTGTATGCGTGCATAAACCTCTCATTGTACATTTGTACTCGACTCAGATCACATATCTGTTTACGATTAACTCACCCTCACTTTTCCGCCGTACAAAAACTCATTAATTAAAGGTAAACCAAACTGGAATAGATTCTCTAAGACTCTAACCATGTACAATCTCATATGAAAATACCAACAAGTATACCTACCACTTAAATAGCAGAACAAACAGCCGATCATCTGACGGACGTCATAACAGAAGCCACTTAATCCTGTTCTAATCCCGAATATCAAATTATACACAGTCCTGGCAACTTACAACACTGCACATCTTCACTTTTTCGTCGTAAACATTTAGCCAGATGCACCTGGCAATACCATAGGAACCCCACAGATAAAAAAAATACTAAAACTACTCACCAAAGAAGTACAAGCAGCTTTACAAAATTACCGTGTATCCTCATACAATAGTTACTTGACAAACATGCGACCGGGTGAATCAAATTTGTGGAAAGCAACAAAAAGGCTATTAAACCATTCCCCCTCTCCGCACTGATCCAAAACTTGTCATATCCGATCAAGGAAAATGTGATGTTTTTTCAAACATGCTGTACAATACCTTTTCTCCCAACAGTCCCAACCATATATTATGTATTCCAAGCATTGACCTAAGAGTAAAACACATCTTAAAACTTCCAAATTATGAAGTCCAAGACTCCATAAATTACGTAACGCCAAATGAAATCAAACAAATTATTAAAAATGTTCCGAACGAAAAATCACTGGGTCACGACTAAATTACAAACCTTAATCTAAAAAAATTACCACTGAAAGGATTAGTGTTTATGACCACACTATTTAACTCTTTATTGCGTCTTGATTACTTTCCATCCAAATGGAAAGTCACAATCATAATATTAATAAACAAACCAAGGAAGGACAAATCCAATCCTAACAGCTATAGGCCAATCAGCCTCTTATCTTCAATTTCAAAATTGTTTGAAAAAGTCATTCACACTAGATTCTTTTATATTTAAATGTCATAGATTTTATACCTAAATTCCAATTCGGGTTTAGATCATATCATTCTACTACGGTTCAATAATTACTTAGAATAACTGAACACATTAATACTGCATTTGAAAAACATTGTCATACTAGAGCTGTATTTATAGATATTTCAAAAGCATTCGATAAAGTCTGGCACGAGGGCCTACTGTTAAACTTAAATCCATGAACACTCCATCTTACTTATTCAATATTATAAATTCATTTCTACTTAACAGGCAGTTCGCTGTTAAAATAAATGATAACACCTCWGACCTTATGCCTATATCTGCTGGAGCACCTCAGGGCTCTAAGCTTGGTCCCATTCTATTTAACATCAACGTATATGATATGATATCATTGATATCCCCCAGTCACCTCATACGAATATTGCCCTTTTTGCAGACAATACTACAATATTCACCGAATCACGAAACATTGAAGCAATTACCACAAATCTGCAATTACATCTTAATACAATATCTTATTGGTGTAATAAATATCGTATCCAAAAATATGCGTCAAAAAGCACAGATGTAATTTTCAGTCTTCGTCCTTACCACCCCTCTACACAATTAACATTTAACAATGTAAATATACCTTGGAACTCGTCAGTAAAGTACCTCGGCTTGACATTGGATAAACGGCTAACATGGCAGCCCCATATCTCATCCAAACTTCAACAGACATATCAGCGCCTTTCTATGTTATACCCTATTTTCAATAAAAAATCTCCAATACAGAAAAAATTCTCTCTTCTAATATTTAAACAAATTCTACGCCCACTACTCACTTATGCGTGTCCGGTCTGGGGGAAATGCGCAACCACTCACATCAGTAAAATTTAAATTTTTCAAAATAAAGTGCTACAAACGCACCTTGGTTTATAAGGAACATGTTATCTTATCTTTTTTTTTCTTTATTTAGAATATACAATCTGTACCTATGAGGCACAATGAGTACATGAGATGAGAGATACATACATATTATTATACAGTTAACATTAATATAAAATACTAACCTAAGCATATATTTACATGAATACACGGGTTGTGAGAAGCCATCCGTCAATGACACTCAACATGGGTATTTATTATATATTTTTTGCTATTATTTATTTATTTTTTTAATTTGGATGGGGGGAGGGTGAGAAGGTCACGACACCGATTGCGTTTTAGACGCCTAGGAGGATTGCCAGGAATGGTCGGGACTTCGAGATCGCGGATTAGTGGATTACTGTTGGTGGACAGACGGTTATGAAAACGCTTATAATGTACTTTAGCTTCTTCCTAGACAGTTTTATCTTATCTTAATAAAAAAAATTTGATTTTTTTCCAAAAACGTTTTTAATATTTTTTTCGTATTTACCCATGATATATTTGATTTAATATAGAAACTTTATAACATCATAATATCATCAACCAACACTAACCTGCTGCTTTTAGGATCTGTTCGTTTATTGGGATCCCAGAATAACAGAAAATTGAAAACATGCCGGGAACGGAATCAACAATATCTTGCGTGGTTATTAATCCATCTTTTTTGCTGCGTTTTAGCAACTTCACGTCACACCTGTAATTAGTTTCTATTACAATGCTTGTTTAAGATCTTAAAATTTTTTTGATTTATCTGTGTTTTACGCAATCGCGAGTATTTGTGTATTAAACAAATTAAAACATATACAACGCCAGGATCGGCCATAAAAATTGTATCCTCAATATTAAGGATGACAATTTGAACATACTTGTTTCCAAAACATAAATATTAACTTTTGAAATATTCGATATTATTCATTTTTTATAGTACAAATGATGGAACCATTAGACGCATTGTTAGATTTTGGTAATTGACCCATGACGTTTCATGACGACTACAGTGCAATGTACAAAACGAATATTTCATTGATGAAATAGAGATCAAACAATATAATTCTATAATTTTCAAATCACGACAAAATACACTAGCTATTTMAAATTATATTCGGTATGAACGATAAAATAAACAATGCTCACTTTCCATACATTTATCACAATGTACTATTACCAAATTTAAGCGTTCTAATTCCCATATTTAAATTTATTCCACCAATAAATTAACGTTTCATGTACTTGTATGTAAACTAACTATTTCTACATATAAAAATCCAATAAACTTATAATATATAATTGTTTCACTTAAAAGATCAAACATAAAAACATTGTACATGTTGACTATTTATAAATATTATGAAAAATAATCACCATAATAAAGTCACCTTCATCACAAAAATTAAAATTAAAAATTAATCTATATACCTTGTACGTAATAAATCAATGGCTTTTTTTGGAAAATCATCACGTACTAACAACACCATTGGTTTAGATGACATCGTTGTGCACTAAACACGTGATTTTATACTCCAAACAATTTGCCTCTGTAAAAACCATAATAATATTTACGTAAATACATGGGACAAAAAATAAGAAATAATGATTAGGAATGGAAAACTCAGGGTAAAATTATATTGTAATACAATAAATATAGAAACAACACTATTTCTACCTAGACTACCTATATGGAATAATTTATTATTTTTTATATGTAAAACAAAACCGCTATATACATGACAAGTATATAAAATTTTAGATTTTGAGCATAGTGAGTAATTTTAATTTACACTCACATTTGTGTTTTGAAGAAAATCTACATGCTATTCGTATGAGGGGTTCCTAGTACAAATTTAATATAAATATTTAGTGCGGATTGGTTTGAAATACTTTATTAGGTCATTTAAAACTCTGTTAGCGCTAATTTTGTAATTATTTCATCTTTTTTTTATTAGTTGACTTTGTAAAACAATGTAATAATTAATTTTATGTATATGTATGTTCAATGACAACAAATAATTATCACCACTGGTTATCTTGTACTGTTCTTATACAAATCGATGCATCATGCGACTTTTTTAAGTTGGGCTACTGCCTACTCTAGCGTTTAAAACGATTTTACGGATTTTACAAAAAATAAGGTTTAAGAGTGTTTATTTCTACATCCAAAATAATATCCTAAAAATAACTTTAAAAACCTAGATTTTGAAGCTACAAAAAAAATTTCAAAAATCTTTATTATGGCATCACAGTGAGTATCCGTATACTAATTACCTTACAAAATTCAGAAACACCTGTATATTATCTGTTTTTATATGTAGGTACAGCATAGGGAAATTATTGGTTTTTATTATTATAAATTATAATCTAAATGGTGAAACTTATGAATTATTACTAGGTATGGAACATTTGTTAAGACTCTGTCGAATAAATGTATTTCCAATTTATATACGACAAAAAAATATAATTGTTTTTAAGCTGCCTGCTCTTGACTATTTAATAAGGAGCAATAGTCAGTGCACACGACTCGTTAGTTGTCCTCGAATATTCCCGATATTATTTTATATTTAGCTTAAGGATTTATCAATTATTTGTTATCTCTAACAATAACATTTTGACTCTCGATTTCAATTATTCTATGAAAAAAATTGTCAAAATTAAACACTAAACATTTTTTCCTAAAACCGGGACATAATATAGGCACCCCGAAAACATTTTTCGGGACACCGGGACATAAAGTCGAAAACCGGTGACAGTCCCCGTTTTCCGGAACGTATGGCAACCCTAGGTATATTATATGCAATAACCTTGTATACTTAATTGAAATAATTTCAGCCATGTTCAACTTAAGTTCAATTTGTATGCATAATCTCTATGACTTAAAGAAAATAATGATAATAAGGCAATACATGCGTCATGCACTTTGTCAATATTTTGTAAAAAAATAATTAGGTTTTCGAATGTTAGTTTTTAAATTATGGCGTAGGTAAGTAACTCATGATTGTGTAAGACGTGATGATATCGATAATATTCAGTTAAATTGATAAGATTTAACTGTTAACAAACTGATAACAATTTTTTAATATTTCATAAAATCAAACCCTATTGGAATTTTCTTCTTCAAATCGCAACTATTATTTGAAATATTATAACTTATAACTCATAAGTTACAACAATGTAGGTATCAACTGTAATCTAAATTTGAAAATTAATCCGAAACATACCAATTTCTTTGTAGGTAGACACATCGTACTTGTGTACTAGTACTAATAACTATAACATTTTTAAACCTGAACTCCACTCAAGCGTTTTGTAATGTTATCTTTTTTAAAAATTACGATACTTTCAAATCCAAGGCTCGGACTACTACGAGCAACTAGTTTTTAAGGCACAAAACTTAATTCTTGTTTGGTACGGATTCAAGTAATCACAATTACCTAAAACTTTTGTAGGGTTTAGTTACATATTTTATATTAACGGTATTAACTTAAGGGCTAAGATAACTGATAAACACTAAGTTTTCCGTACTAATATTCCAGTCACTGAACTGAATTTCAGTTCGAAAAAGTTAAGTGTTAAACAATGAGTAACTTAATAGCTATTATGTTTACCTTATCTATAGAAAAATGGTATACTCGTATATGGCCGTTAGCCGTGACGTGTCGGTTGCTACTCGTGTTGTTGGGTTACCGCACTGTCAATAAAAATGATTGAATAATAATTATGGCTTGTTAAGAAACACAAAAAACTTCGGCCTACTCTCAATGGTTTTAATTTTTAAACGCGTAAAAAACAACACACCCGATCAGTTTATACGCGTCTATGCATCAGATACAGTGATAATGTGATACGGGTACCTAACACACACGAAATGATTATGATTTAAATTTAAATCACTATTATATAACGGTGTTCACGTGCTATTGGCGACCACTGACGTTTAACAAAAAATTAAAAAATGTACACTGTATATATAGATATACTATGAAGTATGCACGCACTATCCACTACCAGATTTAGATATTGTACCTATTACAGTATTACACTATCACGTGAACACTGAACAGTTCGATAGTTCGATTATAATCATTAACGGACTTACCTATACTACAGTAGTACCTACGAGTTATTATTTGATGCTCTTAAAGTAATAAAGTCAAGACTTTAGAAGACTAGAACTCTAGCACATGCCAAGTTCTAATGAACCCGTGGCTATATTTATGAGACATTAGCACTGGGCCTACTCGAAAGAGGGGCCCACCGACTTCACCTATATAAAATTAATTATATTTATATACCATTTGGCCATTTTATYATATTTAGGGCAAACACAATTTTACTTGGATATTTTGGTGGATTAYAARGTATAAAGGAGATTTTGCGAAAACGATGGCTTTAATCAACATTGCTGATAACAAAATCTAATTGTCATTATTATCGTCATAATATTAAATAATAATAATAATATATTAGTATATTAAAAATAATCGTATTTGTTGTAGATTTATTAGTAATTTGTTAATTATTTTTAAAAGTTTCAAATCTCAAAAAAAAATATTTAAGTGGTTCAATTAAGAGAAAATTAAAGGATAAACGAGATTAAGAATCAAAAAAATTAGACGGTAGTTTGGATAAATTTACGTTTAGATAATTAGCACACAATCGACGGGTAATAAATGTTTATTAACAATATGAAGTATTAAAGTCATACTCTTATATTATTTACTATTACAGACGTTACTGAAAAATATACCAATGACAATGAAATGACTGAAATCGAAAAATCTGTTGAAATTTGAGGTATTACTAGTCAATGGTAGGCAATAGGCATTAACTTATTAAAAAGTTAAATTTAAGTTAAAATTTTAATTTATTTTAATTTTTAATTTAACAAGCAGAGGTTAAAGTGGGAAAAAATTCCAGAGGGGACTAATGTTTCCAAAAAGTTTTAAGCGTTCCATATATAGTTTTATGTATAATGTCTAATGTATAAAATCCTAATTTGTTAAAGGGGACGCTTTTTAACCGCCGTCAGAGGTAAGGGGACTGAGTCCTCCTGCGTCCCCCCCCACTTTAACCCCTGTTAACAAGTAAGTTATTTTTGTTTTCAACTTATTAAATTTTGTATTGTTTTAACTTTTTATAGTTAATTATAATTATTGTACAGTTAAGTTAATTATTTTTTTTCTATCAAGTGGAACCAACAGACAAAACTTATTCTTTCGATTTTGATAATTTATTTTTCTAATAATAAATAGGTGTCATAAATTAATAATAATCAAACTACATTTTAATCTATAGGTAATAATTAGTAGGTATACTGTTTATCGTATGAAATGGCTATTTTCACGAGTTATATTCAATGATCTACTTGGTGTTGAATAATCCTACTTTTAAAAATATATTATGCGTACATTTTTATTTTAGCATTGAAGAAAATAGAGATGTAAAATTTAGGGCCCAAAATTGTAAATTGTACTGGATCCAAAAATTGGTGAATCAGGCCCTAAATGAACCCATGACAAGATATATGTATAACTGAATAAGTATATATTGTCATAATAATTGAGCCTACTGCAGTACTGTGTACTTATAAAAAAATAGTCTAGGCGCTAGTGGGCAGTAGTTGAGGTCCAGTCGGCTAATTACGACACGATTTTGAGTAGAACACGACTATCTTTAATGTTCAGTCATTAATTTTGGTTTTTGAAAAAAAAAAACAATTAAAATTATATGAAATGTTTCCTCCACTAAGTATATGTTTTTGTTTTTTTACATTCATCTGCTTTGTTCCATTCATGATAACTCATAAATTATAAAAAATCATTACAATTACTAGTATCTAAAATTAAATTTTATATGGTTTTTAGATTTRAAAAAAATACATATCTTTAAACAGGACTTTTTAACCATTCAAATGGAAGTAAAAAGTGAATGATAAATCAATAGTACTATCTATATTGTGAATTTGTAAATAAGATAATTWTAGAAAACTATGTGACCCTTCCATTTGTATTTAATGTTTGGAGTGGAAATGTTTGAAAAATGTCACGCCTCAGCTCTATGAGAAAGAAAAAAACTTAAATTTGAATGCAAATATTTAGATCATCAGACTACCCTGTCTCAAGCTGTCTATGTCTGAGCAAACGTATTAATATGTCAATAYATCTAATAATAATACAAATTGAGTAATGAGTTTATTATGTCAAATRGACATAATAAATTTCTAAAGGATTTAATTTAAATTAAAYAGTAGTAGAAAATATGTTTATAATTGATTAATAAAATAATGAAAATAATAATTCTTACAATAAAATAAATTTAAAATATTAAAGAACATATTATATAAAAAMATGTTAAATCAATAAATGTAATAATAAAAATTAACATTTTATATTTTGTAACATTCACAAATTAGATAATTTTAATCAAATTTTGATTAAATGTGACAATTAAATTAAAACTGAACTTCATTTGGCATTGCAGTATTGTCCAAAACAGCTATTATATTTTTGGAAACGATAACAGCCATTTCTGTCCGTGTTTCAATGGTAGCACTCCCAATGTGTGGCAACAACACTAATGTCCAAAAATAATATAACATATTTATATAATACTATTTTTAAGCATTCAAAAATAATATTTGTTATACATACCAACATTGTTCATCTTTATCAAAGGACTATCAAGTGGTAATGGTTCTGGTGTCATAACATCTAGGCCAGCACCTCCAATTTTATTTTTTTTTAATGCTTCAATGAGTGCGTCTTGGTCAATTAGTCCTGAAAACTCAAATATTAACATAATACTGATCTAAAGTAATGATTTGCATGCTTAAAATTTGCCTTACCTCCACGACCAATGTTTACCAATACAGCGTGTGACTTCATTTTGGCAATACGTTCTTTATTAATGATAAACTTTGTGTCCTCAGTCAGTGCAATAGAAATAATTATGAAGTCACTTTGTTCGACAAGCTCATCGACAGTAACCATTTTTCCACCAAGTTCTTTGACTAATTAATCATGAGTTGAAAGTTTTTATTATTTTYATTTTTTATATAGTATACACTTAAGTGAAAACAATTTTACCAGCAGGTTTTTCAGTTCTACTAGTGTACAGTAGTTGAGAAATTTCAAACGTCTTCAGCTTCTTTGCAATTGATGTTCCAATGTTGCCACATCCAACAATACCAACAACAGAGTTTCTAATACCTCTACCACACATCCAAGTAGGTGTCACATTTTTCCATCCACCTCTAAAAAAAATTAATTTTTACTTGCATTCAACTATATTGTTATTCAACTTTTTATTTAGTRTACGTTTTCAATGCATGGTTAGCTTCAAAAAATCGTCTCGTTGTTGATATCAACAACCCAATTGTTGTTTCTGCTACAGTTTCAGTTAAAACATCTGGTGTGTATCCCAAACGTATGCCATATTTTTTCATTGCAGTCAAGTCAACGTGATCATATCCTACAGACATGGTACCAACAACCTTTAGACTGGGGCCTACAAAATGAAAAATGATTAACTACATTAGTTACCTAAAATATTATTATTATTACTTTATCTAGTTATATATTTTTAACCTGCAGTTTTAATTAGTTCTTCATCAATTTTGTCCGATGGATTACAAAATATTGCAAATTTCCCAGGTATTTCTTTTAAAATTTCTGTCCTGGAAGCATGTATTAGGGAATCACAAATTTTGACATCAAATCTRAAATATACAAATACATGTCAAAAAATTATTAAGCTTAAACTTTRGGAATAGCCAATAGGTACTAACCTTTCACGAAGTAAACTAATTGCAATTTCTGGAACGTGTTTCATTGTAATTAACACTTGAGGTTTTGACATGGTTAACACTGATGGCCTAACTTGGTATAGTACACACTAAACAATAAATTTTATTCATTAAAAAAAAAAAAAAACTCAAGTAATGTAGTAGTCTTTAGTAAAACACATTAGTAATATAGTTATAGTTCATCTGTTGTGAAAAAAGCATTTAAAAAATATTCATATTTATAGGTACTTATCTTATACTATTCTTATAAATTACCTCAATTACTCTAGTCTTTTATGGTAATAATCAAATATCTGGAGGAAACACTGTCGCTCACGAGTAGAAACGTTTGAAAGAGTCGAGTATAATATATACTGTAATGGGTATTGTGAATCAAAAGCTACGTAGCTGATTGTGGATCGTTGAATAATCGCACAAAAGACAAAGGTTGAAGTATGTTATCGTAATCGTAGTTGAAAGTTGAACCCCAGAAATCAGAATAGATTAAATGAAATTGAACTGATTGRCTCGTAAGTCGTAATGACTATGTGAATGGCTGATTGATGAGTGATTGGCATCACTATCTATATTCTTCGGTGATTGGTTTCTGCCATTCATGGGTAGTTATTAGCAAGAGTTGTTGATGTAGGACAGGTATTAAATATGTTAAAAACTTAAAACATAGATAATAATACACTCTATAACAGCCATGATAAATATTGTATTATAATCATTTATAGATAGATTATACTATCTATATTCAATRCACAACAAAGATAATAATATTATCTACATACAATATGATATATCGTGATYCAATCTATAATTATTAATTATTGGTATAACGTATAAAATGTAAATAATTATTGTTAATTTTGTTATACTAACATAATAGATATCAGAGGCGTAATTATGGGGGGATGAGGGATATATCCCCCTCAAAGAGTCTATATAATGTGTATATTTATAATAGGTATATTAATTTGAAGCTTATGGAAATATATGTTTTATCGTGCTGACATCACGACGAAATATRTTAAATATAATTAATATCAAGAAATCTATAAATTATTATTTAATTTAAAAGTAAATTTTAATTCTAATATATTCAAAATCTACATTTTGAAGAAATTATTATAATATTGTATAGGTACTAAATTGTGTAGAATTTTAAAGCACATTTATTAATACATTTTGTGTACATATATATTAGTTTAAGAATTTTTGATGAAATAGTTTTCCCAGATATTGTACTAGAAAATCTAAGTATTTTGTGCGGAAAAAAATGTTTATCCCCCCCTAAGACAAATTCCTAATTATGCCACTGATAGATATATTCCATTTTTTGCCTTTTGCCTGTACCATAACTATACTAGGTATACACACCTTCCGGTATTGCAATTTTACAGTTTTTGTAATTCCTCTTAACACTTGTGAGTTATGAAGATGGTTTTTCATTAATCAGTATCGACTRTAGGTAATAATATTATTATTATTGTTATTATGATTGTTATATTGCCTATATGTTTATTACTTTATTAATTATAATAATAACAATAATACCTAATTATTATTTTATTTTTCAAGAAAAACAGTAAATGCATTATCGCATTAGTATTTCAAGAAAATATAAAAAATTCACCGTTTGATCGTTGTAATGATATTTCCTTAGATCATATAGTATATAGTAGGTATGTAATGGAAACAAATAAAATTATAAAAAAGCGGGTAAGTCGTGGATGTCGCTCTGCTGTACAGTAGGTTACTGTAATGGATGGGATTAAATTTGAATGCAATGATAGGTATCACTGTATACGAAAAACGATTCTGAACGGAGATGATTTGTCAGTCTACAAGATATATTTATATTATATTTAAATATTG